GGTCGTGTGTTCTCGGCCATTTATTTAAACTCGAAAAGTTTTAAGAAAATTTCTAGGGTGCTCCATGGCAAAATCTGGTACACAACAGAACAATAGTATAATCCCGTCGTAACTGCCTTAGTATCGTAACTACCTTACTCTAATTAACTCCACTTCTCCCAACTATTCTTCCTCCTTCCTATATCCCTTCCTTCCAAAATGTTCCATCATACTCCCAAAATCTCTACCTTTCTAATATCCTTCCTATCTTCTGCTACTATATCCATGTCCTCAATTCCTACTCTACTTTCTCATTCCAATCTACTCCATATCTTAGTTATGTTCTGCTGGTACTCCCAAGCCTCACGTCTCGTTCGTCCGGTATCTCCACTCTGGCCACCTCTGTGGAACGTTCGCTCTGCTGACGCAGAAATTTCCACCGGCCGGAAGTCCTGCAACCACTCCTCGCTGCTGCTTTCCCAACAGAGCACCCCTAAAATTTTTCTAAATAATTTTTACTATATTTTTATTTTCCCCTGTCAATCTGACCTTTCCCAATCCCTACTGTGCTTCTTCATATCCCAATACTCTACTCCTGTCCATCTTCTATATCTCTTATACACTCCCACCTTCTACCCTAGTATCTTTTACTCTTCCAACTACTAGTATCTATCTATTCCCCTCTCTGTATATCAAAGCATATTAATCTATCCCTATATTACTATCTGGACACTTCTTCACCTACTCCTCTCCAAAATCTTCTTTCATCCCAACAATCGTATCTTATATTGCTACTACTTCTCCCTATCTAATCCATCTCTAACATCATATCTGTAATACGTCCACATGTACTCCATTAATCTAACTACTACAATATAATATTGATCTATCCTTATTCTACTTATTTGTTTTATGTCCACTACTTTTCTTACTTATACTACACTTTATATTCCTATCATACTGTCTTCCACACAAACAAGGCTTATTTGAATAAAGGATGCAAGGACATATTCTAAAAGATGCTATGTGCACAGATCTACTATTCTTTAAGCTTTCTCTGTCGTACTAAAATCAACTGATAAATTAAATCGCTAAGTTTTGTACAATATAAAAACTGCAACTGATCTGATCAGAGCACTGCCTGTTGGATTTCTTACTCTATTCTCCACAGATGCCAGTTGCACTGTGGTGGACTATGGACAAAAGCCTTCACTTGGCAATCCTTCAGAAAAACAGCTCCAAAGTACTTCCACTCCAAGTGGC